TAACCGGGCTGCACCGCGTTTGCTGTGCTGATCGATACTTGCTTTTCTTTCTCTTCTGAGTAGAGAAAACATTTATAGAGCTTACTTGCGTGGTACCTCTACTTATTAGCCTAAATGTAAATGCCTGGAAACTACAGTTGTAACTCCTGTTGTTCTTGCCAAGGAAAGCTAAAGGAAGCAAGGGAGAACTTTTTTAGGCAGAGTATTTTAATATTAACAGTTTCACTAGAAAAAATATCTTGGTGAGTCCCTTTTCAGGTAAAATAACTAAAACTTTAATTTGTGTCTGTTTACGCAGAGTTTATTTCTAGATTTCATTCATTTATAGTTAAATTTCAAACTTAGGAGTGCTCATTTATTTAAAAATAGAAAATAAAATTATTTGGGAAGATGTCCTGAATCCATTTTCTGAGCTCTTGAGTTTTCAAAGGGATTGTTTTAACAAACCGTAAGTTTTGAGGCCTCAGACACTGTCATTCAAGCTTTGGTGCAACTCCTCTGTCAGTTACTCCTCCTTGTCTTCAGTTTCTCTCTGCTCCTCAGTAGCTGTTTTTTTGTATGATGAGTTTCTGGTAGTTTTCTTCACCAGTCTTGAAATAGGATTTTGTGTGTTGGTGTTTTGGTTTGAGGTGTGTCCCCCGTAATTTAATCAGAATTTTGACATGCTGCTATGTGAAAAATCTCATTCTGATACTCCACACTTGGATGAAAATACTCAACTTTTTCCTCTGTGGTGGCCCTGTTACTGGGAATTTTTGCCCATAGCGACCTTAAACCAACGTTGTTTATATTCTGTAGCCCAACCAAAGAATTAGAGCAAGAACTTTAAAAGCGAAAGCAATGTAATGCCTATTTATTTTCGTCTAATCTTACATTTAATTATATTTTAGATTAGATGTACTTTAATTACAAATGTGGAAGAAGCCCATTCTAGTGAATACTACAGTGTCTGTCTTCTTCCAAACAGTTTGGAGACTCCCACTAGACTTGTTAAATTGGTGTTGCTTCCTAATGGCTCTTTAGTGTAAGCTGCATCCCTGCTGAAGTTAGTGTAAGCACTATGCATTAGTCTTGTAAGATGTGTATTTATTTGTAAGTAGAGAAACAGCTTCTGCATCTTGGTAAGTATGAAAGCAGACTTAACTCCCTCTTAAGTAAGGTGCTGTCTTGCAGCACTTGTGGTTTGCTGCTGCCACAAGTGAGAGGCCTTGCTTTGTGATGTCCTCCCTTTTATGAGTTTTTCAACATCCCTCTGTACATTAGTTGAGCATACTAAAACAGCAGAAAAAATATTCTTGTTTTCCTTTCCTGGATTTGTTCCATTTTAGTGAGTAAAATCTACTGTAAAGAGGACTGATGGGTGCTGGAGTTGGCACAAGGTAGGAGCAGGAGCCACTTGGGATGGAAGTGGGGACTGGCACTCCACCCTTGAGGCAGTGGTTTATTCACTTCCCTATGTTTTGTGTAACCAAGCCAGTGATTTATCTAGGCCTACTCATTGTTTCTTAAAATTACGTTTTTTCTGAAACTTACATAGTTACATCACCCTTCTTCCTCTTTCCCCTACATTGCTTTATCCTCCTTTGTTATGGAGCACATGGTTTATTCATGTTTGCCTAGGAAAATCTTAGCATGTGACTTTTTTATGGAAGAATGTGTAAAGCTGTTACAAACGTATGGCATGTTTGTGTACATTTAGCTGATACATAAAACCTAGCACTAGGGCAAATGAATGCACGTTAGTTCTTGAGGCTCAGCAGAAATACTGGTTTGCGTAGCACTGTGGCACTCTTAGGGTATTACAGTACTAAAGATATATCTGCATTTTAAATGATCAAGTGTAAATCAAGTCATCCTTGCTTAAACATTCCCCTTGAGCTTATTGACAATCCAAAACCGAACAACCTGGAGCAATTGTACTCTGCTGAGATAAAAACATGTAAGTTGTGCTCTAAGGAAGTATGCAGTGCTTCTCATTTATTGCACAAGAAGGAATGGAGAACTGTTTTGAACGATTAGTTTGTTGCTGGCTTACTTCCGTGGCTGATGAACTAATTTGATAAAGTTCAGATGCTCTTATTTTTATGCTGGAAAATCCCTATCATGACCTCTTAGTGGATGTGATACAGTTCAGTATCATGGTTTACATAGAAAATGGTTGTCTTTGGTCTGTGTGAATTCTAAAAATTGGGGTAGGGAGGGAATGGAGAACCTGGTCATATAAGAACAAAGGCTTTTTACACATCTTTTTCCTTTCAGCATCTCAAGAGGAAGATCAATTTTGTGTAGAAATAAGTGATTTCCAGAGGACAGCCCCAATGACAGAACTGTCTGCACATTTACCCCAGTTTCAGCATGGGCAGCTGACAGAAAACTTCCCTGATAACCACCTCAGCAACACCGTATGTAACAAATAAAATTTTATTACCTGTTAGCAGTTAAATCAGGATGAATAATGAATGTGGATGAAAATACAGTTTGGAACTTTTAGAATTCTGTTTGTTGGGAGCAGTTTTCTCTATCTGGACGGTTGTGGTGATAAACAGTGCCAAAAGACATGTTCTGTAAAATACCTGATGTTCTAAACTTATTTTTATATACAATAAGACTTCTCCGAGTTTAAACTGGTGTTGAGATGATGAAGCCCTCAAGAAATAAGAAGATGGTGTGGGATGCTCCTGTGTCAAACCTTGACCTTGAGAGGATTTAGTGAGCTGTCTTGATCTAGCCTGACTGTGGTCTGCTTGATTCACAAGTTTCTTAGTCACAGAGTTAATTTTAGTCTAGGTAGAGCAAACCGCCTGTGTTCTGTTGTTGCTGTTGCTGGAGGACTGCTCCTGTGCAGGAAGAGCAGCACCATCTTGTCTTGTGAATAATTGTCAAGCTGCTCTCAGAGTTCTTGAGGTATTGGGGAGAAGGGGAAACTCAAACCATAAAGTTTTAAATCTTTCCTTTGAAGGACCTAAGCACATACTTGTTGCTAAAACTGTACTCATTGTATTGCATGTGTTTTGGTAAAACCAGGTTTAGATGATCTACTTGGGTGTGGTGCTTAGGCTCTTGGATTTGTCATACTCAGTTGTTTTGTTCCTGCTAAAGCTCTTGAGTATCATGTTTCCTTGTGACACAGAAATGTTCTTCTGAGGCTGAGCCACTTGTAGCTGTGTTTATGACAGTGATTCAAGAGAATATTTTGATCCATGCTCTAACTCTTCCATACTGTCCAGCAGTTTAAGTAGAATTTTGGAAAATCCTTGTCTTTATCTCAGATCAGCATACTGCTATATCAGTAAAAATGTAAAACATTTGGAAAATTAGTTTTAAATTAAGAAGTCAGTCTGACTTAAGACCTTACTGATTACAGAAACTGTTAATAAAAACTGAAAAATGGAAACTTTCCTACTGCATCCTTTGTGCTTTTACTTCAGAAGAAATTAAAAAAGGTTTATTTTCATCTTGGACAGGTGAGAGATTAACTTTTATTGAATACTTTGGCCAGATTAAAAAGGCAGAGCTCAGCGATAAACTGTGGGCTCACCATCCTTATAGATAATTTGATGATGCTCCTTCCCAGCAGGGAGGGATGGATGATTCTATTTTCTTCTCACTAACAGACTATACTGATTAATAACTACTACTTGTGCTTTTTCTCTCCGTGTTTAAGCATAATTCTAGGTGTATTTTCAATACTTAGTTGTAATAATTTTTTTTTTTTCACACATCCGCTTTGTTTTTGTACATATGTACAAAAATCTTTGCCTGCTTAAGTATATCTAGCTTCTGTGGCTAACAGAAATCATCAAGTACTATAATTTGCCATTTCTTCTTCCAGTCACACACCAAGAGTTCAGCCTAGTCTTCAATATCTGTCACTGTATAACAACCTTTAAACATAAATGGTGTATGTGAGAAATAATGAAGTCTGTGCCTACTGTCAGGCAAGGTGCTCTGCTCCTGATGTATAAATCTGGATTCAATAAATAAAAACTTCTTATCAAATATGTTAATTTTTTATCTTTTGGTTCAGGGGCATTGCTCTGGGTTTGCTATTAACTATTTTCCTGATAGGGAAAAAAGACCCTGTCATTTGCTTTTGATATTGTTTATTCACCTGAAAGCGCGTAGTTCGTAACTTACGTTTGCTTACGGTGTTACAACAGGTGTTACTGACTTTTTAGCTTCAGAATTTTCACTTTTAACTATGTCTGAGGAAAGTGAAGAATCTGTTCCTTTGCTTCCACTTCAGCAAGAGTCCGTGACCTCTGCTCTGTTTAATACCAATCAGGTAGGATATGAGTGTACTTTGTTCTTTTAAGCAGTGGGGCACACGCATGTCACATTTAGCTATACTTTAGTAGCCTGAAAGGACAACTTTTTTCTGGTTTTAACAGCAAATGAGAGAATAAGTCTTACAACTCTTTTGATGCTGATCTAGTTTTCATGCACTGTGTTTTAGTATGTAAAGATATTTTGTGATTGTCTCTTTGTTCCTAACTAGTGAAGGGAATAAAATGGCACATATTGGTCTAATTTCTTCAGTTTTTCTCTTTATGTTTGGTTTTGCATTTTTTTGTAGTTGTGTGCTAGTTAATCAGGCTTTTCCTTTGGCTGTTTCTGTGTTTGCTTTGCAAAGCTGTGGATTTTTATTGTACTTTTTATATTTATGTGCCTAAGATAGGGGTAAGTGCTCCCTCATGCAGGACTGCTATTACAGCAGAGAAGGAGCAACGTATTCTGCAAGAGTGTGGAAGCCTAAATACTAGGTCTGCTTTACTTGTGAGTGTTCCAAGCCGCTGATCATCTCCAATGTAGTGTTATTTATGATCATCTTAGGCAGTTTATTTGGCCGGATAAGCTTATTGTTGTCTTGTTGTAGACTGATTTTACTATCAAAGTGAAAAATGTTACACTTGAGCTATAATCTGTACAAAGAGAGGTTCAATTGCAGCCAGTATTTCAGAATAATTAAACATGATCTCTTTGTTTGCATTCTCCCATATTCCTCTTTCTATCTGACTTCCAAGAATTGTTTGTGAGGACTTTATGCAAAGTGCCAAGTGATTTATAATGAATCTTTCGTTTAGTCAGAAATAATATTGAACCCAAGATCTTTTTCAGGACATACTTTACGATACTAAATTAAGGTTAAAAGCTTAACTCTCAAAATCTGGTTGCCTGCTAGTTTTAATTCTTTAATTAAGATAATTATAGATTTATTTTTTTTTTCCTCCCCTTATATTCAGTTTCCATTTTGAAAAATAAAGCAAATTTTCTTAGAGGACAGTTCTTGAAACTTTGCTAAGGTTCAACCTGAGGATACCACAAAAAAGGAGTAAATAGGCAAAGCGTTTGGTGTGTATTGTTACTTTGTAATGTTTTGTAAAAGCAAATTTTTCAGGAGTTGGGGAAGTAGTGAAGCTTCAACCGAGGTTTTAGCAGTGTCAGTGTTTGCAGTTCAAAGTCCAGGGACTTGTACTCCGTAATCACTTAAGTGCTTTTGAAAACCCCACTATGAGTTCCTAAGTGTGTGCTTAACATATCTTTTCTGAGGATGGGGCTGGGAAAATTCTTTATAAAGAATTTCCAAAATTACTATTGATTTATCGAAAAACTGCAGTGAGTAAATGATATACAAGTCAGCAGTTATGTTTGGAAATGCTATTAAGAACAGGTAATGAGACCTCAACGTTGCATGTTTAAGGAAGAAATTACCTGCATAAGAGCACTTGAGTGGAAATTCATTAGGTTATTTTCAATACCCTATCTTATGTCTAGAGCAATTTTAGTTAATACTGAGTGATATTTTAAAGGTATTGCAAAAACTATCTTACTTCAGTTTATTGTACATTTTAATCTAAAGCTGCTTTAGTGCACTTACTCAAACTGAACTGTTTGAATTAATTCTGAAGAAATGAGATTCATTTTTTAAGGAATCAAAAAATCTTTGTGTTACATCTCTTTTGTGTTAAATCTCTTGAGTGGAGGGAATGGGAACAGTGGAGCATTGATTTTGGACATGGTAATACGGTAAAAAAAGAAAGAGTAGTCTGTATAGACTGTTGCACTTTAGGACTTGTTTAGAGTGACTGGTAAACATAAAATGGTCTTGTTTCTTTGTAGTCCAGAACAGGTGAAGCATAGCTGACTCTGCTGTTGGGTTCTGTGTATGTGCACACAACATACAAAAGGCTGAATGCCCCCTGCTGAGGGGGCTTCTTGGAGAGCGGGAAAAAGGTTTGTGACAGGAGGAGGAGTGCAGGCCTGATCCTTTACTTGTAGGTGGTGTTCCCAGTTTGGTTTTTTGCTTGTGGTTAATCTTAATTCCATTGAAAATTTACCTCTGTACTTGTGTTTGCATTACACCCTTGATGTTTCATGTAGCAGTACCAGGAAGGCTAGGAGGCTCTCTTCATATTTGCTGACAAGAGTCGTGTAATTTCTTCAATGTCAGTGAAAGGATGTGGCAGTAGTATGCTTGGGAAAGGAGAGACAGAATCTGCATGCTTAGCTCATTACGCTAAAACTTTGGGATCAAATCTCGGTATAAAGATTGAGAATTATCTGAGTTTGATCACCATTTCTGTGTCATTCTTTTTGCTAAAAATGTGGGAACACAATACCTCATGAAACTCCATTTTAATATATCTTCTAGTCAGTATACAGTAGTGGGAGTGACATAGTAAATAAAGTAGAAATTTTCTTGGGATTTTCATGGAGTTAGGGTCATAAATGATTGTCTGGCACTGTTTCTAGGAACAGATACAGTTAATTCTTGTCAAGCTATGAGTAATCTACTGTCATGCACCCTTGTATCAACTGTAGTTTGGACCAAGGGAAAAAGCTGTCTGTCTTTATTCAGCTTTTTAAATTCTGTTTAAAAGAAAGGCGATATAGGCTGTTAGATGCAACCAGCCTACTTTCAGCTGCTGCTGTTTTTAATATAAATGCTTCTAACATAACCCTGTGCTCCCATTCCTTTGATAACTATGTGTTGCAATTAATTACTAATGTTTAAGTCCTTGCTGCAGCAGGTGTTCTTGATAGTAAATATTACCTTACACGTTTCCTCCTCAAGATCATCTTCAGCTTAGTATACAGGAATATGATTGTGGATAGTTTCTAAGGAAACTGTTTTTTGTGTATTGCAGAATGACAATAGTGAAAGACGTCGCCATGATAATAGTGAGCGCAGAAGAAATGACAATCCCGAGTCTGAGACCAATGGGCAGCCACAAAACAACATTCAGCAAGTTGTGGAACAAGACGAAGAAGAAGATGAGGAGCTGACACTGAAATATGGGGCCAAACATGTGATTATGTTGTTTGTACCTGTCACACTTTGCATGGTGGTCGTTGTTGCAACCATCAAGTCTGTCAGCTTTTATACACGCAAGGATGGACAGCTGTATGTATCAATTTTTTCCCCCTATCTTTTCAGTGGAATCACTTAAATAATTTTCTTTAATCACCATTTCTTCAGGAGTCTAATTCAAGCAGTGAACTCCCTCTTGCCTCCCCTTTCCCCTTCACCTGCCGAAAGATAGTTCTATTTTATTCCTTGCAGAAACCAGACTCGATATTCATGGTACTATTTAAATTTGTTGTCTGTCTGGTGACCTCTCAGGATAAAACCTTAGTTGTTACTGCTTGATTCAAATCTAGTCCTCATTTTAATAGTTTGTCGTGCCCTGTGGTATTTATAAAATAAACTCAATTCTGAGTGAAAGCTATTTCAGTTCTGCTCTGCTAGAATACAAAGATTTACCAAAAGGAAAAAAATTACTGATTTAAATGAAATAACATATATGCCAAGTTTTGGCTTGCCTATGCTGTTTGATAAAGAAATTCAAATGCAAGAGGAAGATAGCTTTATGAGGTTCACTTCTGTTGCAGTTACATAAACTTTCCTGACAAGTACCCTGCATAGAAATTTATATTTTTTTTTTTCAAAATATTAATTTTGCTCCCAAAAAAAGGCAATTTCAGTGAAATCTCATTTGAGAGAAAGGAGACAAAGGAAGAGCACTGAGCCTGTCAGAACCTGCAGCAAGTCAGTCTAAATGTTCCACTGTGAAAAAGTTTAGACAAAATGATTCAAAATTTGTTTGTCCTTGAAATGATGGTATAACATAAGCATGTCATAAAATGTTTCGATAAAACACAGAGTTCTTTTTCACTGTCAAAGTTGTTGATCAAAGAATTATTTTTCTTGAGATTTTATTTGTGGTGTTTGCTCACCCCCAACCAAAGAAGTTGAGCCTCTCCGTTGTTTTGTTGAAATGACGGGGGAGCCTTTCATTATAAGCCCACTAGATGGTGTGCTTATAAAGGTCTAGCTGCAGTAATTGTCTCATGATTCATAGCATGTGAGTAATTGTATCAGAGAACATGGAGTTCTGTTTTTTGTTTGTTTTACAAGGTAGAAAACAGTAGTAAGAATGTAGGAAAGGCAGGTCTTCTAAGGAAATTTTTTTTTTAATTAAAATTTGCCTAATCTGATACTATGTTGCCTTTCAGATTTTGCCTAAGTAGAAAATAGCTGTTGCTTTTACAGCTCTGAATTGAAAGATTACTGCAAATTCATCTGATGTTGGCCTCTCATAACAGAAACATCTGTGTATTCGGTAGCATTTCAGTTGACCCTTTCTTGTTGTAGCATCTACACTCCTTTCACAGAAGAGACAGAGACAGTAGGACAGAGAGCCCTGAATTCAATTCTCAACGCGGCTATCATGATCAGTGTTATCATTGTCATGACCATACTCCTGGTTGTGCTTTACAAATACAGGTGCTACAAGGTGAGTATAAATGCAATTGACTTGAGTAATTGTGCTAGTTTTATTATCAAGATTGGAACAAAATGAGGGATTATCAAGGATGAGGGAGCAAAAGTAGCAGAATTGGTGATTCAATTCACTGTTTCAATTTTGTGGCTTCTGTTCCTTTGACACAACAGGGAGGCAAAGGCCCAGTGCTAACACTGCTGGCTGTATTGTCAGTTAGAATTAGGGTGGCATTGCTTCCTATTCCTGTGAGATGTCCATCTACTAAAATCTTCCTGTAGTCAAGAACTACAAAGTACAGACCTGGTCCTACAATTTGAAATCTATTCAAGACTTGAGAGACTTTTCAAGGGCTCCCCTCTCCCCACCCTGCCCCCAGTATAGAAGTCTCTCAACAGTGTGATGCATGCATGGCTGTACACGCCAGGCGATATCCTTATAGCAAACACAGAGACTCTAAGGCTCTTTTGTGAAAGACTTCAATCATATAATGATGTAATCGAGGCAAGTCCAGGCTTAGCATAAATAACTGCAGTGTCACCTGCCTAGGAGGAGTTGTTTGTGAAAACTTCTGGTTGTCTTTTGGTCTTAACGATCCATTTGACAAGTCTTGGCCTAATAAAACTTGCCAGTGTGCAGCCAGAACCTTGAATCTGTTTCATAGTTTTAAAACAGGCAGTGGGATCAATGCAGTGACACAAAGCTTTGCTCCGCTTTATTTTGTTTCAAGAGGGAAAAATGGGTTTGGTCTTCATGACTGTGGGTGAAACGCCTTTATAAAGTGTCTGTGGAGCGACTGGGGAAATTATTTTTGCCTGAATCTGCATACAGCTTGGAGTAGTGTTTGTTTTTTTTAAAGTATGGACCTTCTCTTTTATCACAGTGTAGTGTTAAATCTGAACTGACAAAGTTTTTTCTTTTTAAACTGCCAATTCTGTTCATTCTAATGAAGTCAAATAACTGATGTACTTCAGCTAGGTTCCTTGGCAGCTGGTCAGTTCTCCTCAAATGCTGAAGACATCAACTAGTTTTTACTAAGCTTTTCACATTTCTGGCTTTCCTCTTGACCTTACAAAGCACTGCATGTTCTCCTTACCAAAATAATTGTCATACTAAAAAATTAGAATGATTAGACAACAGAAATTTCCTGTAGTTATATTTTATGCTAATTAAAATAAATAATTAACTTATCTTTAGAATTGCTAACAGAGTATTTCTGTGCTGCTCTACCAGAATGTTGTAAAACAGAATTCAATGGACAGGTAACTGTATTTTACATGCAGTTCTATATGTAGAATATAGTCTAGATTGTGGAGAATGGAGCTTATAATGAAAGAATGTTAAGCCTCCAGCTGTTAGTGATAATTTGCTTATCTTCACAAGATTTTTATCTGAAAATTCCTTTAAAGAAAGGAAATACTATTTCAGCATTACTGCTGTTAGTTTCCTGTGTTTCTCCTGTACCTGATAAGTTAAGCATGGTCCTGATTCTAGCTCCTAAATCTAACCAGAAACATGTGCATCGAAGGTGAATGTATTTGACTAGCTTTTTTTTTAACATATTTTATTATTCTCTGCATTATTCATTGTTTTTTCTGCCTAACCAAAATCTGACTGCCGTAGCCCATTTTATTTCTCTGCATTCTGCAACCGTTAGTTTTATTCAAGTTGTAGCAGGCAAAGCCGACTCTGTACCAGCAATCAATTAGTGTTGAAGCGATTGTCAAATGAAGAATGAAAATTCTTTAATTAGAAGGCAACAAACCTGTCATGGTATCCTGCTAGGAAAACACCGGCCAAATCTTACAAGAAATACTTTGGAAAAATCACTTGTATGAAAAGAGGCCAGTGATCTGGAAAATGCTGTAGTAAATGAGGTACATACTGAGAATAAAACAAACATCTGTGTGTAAAATGCCAGCTTAGGTTGACTCTTGAAAGTACCTTCTTTAGTACTGTTGACAGTAGTTATGCAAAGTGTGTGTAAACATTTGCTGGACTGTGGCCTTGGTGTTTGACATCATTAGCATTTTACTCTTTACTGGATTGAAGTATTAGTATTCATGTTAGTTTCATAAGTGGTAGGAAAGTTTAAGAGCTTATACTACAAATAGAAGACCTACAGATAGAAGTCATGTTATTAAAAGAAATGGCGCAGCTTGCTTTGCCATTTTCTTAACATGGTTTCAACTACTTTTACACAGAAATAAAGTTACTCTTGTTAAGTCACTGCTTAGATGTATAGATGCTTTTACAATTGTTTGAAAGTTGGATTCTGTTTCAGGTACCTATCAACCTTCAGCTTTAGTATGGTTTTTTTGGTTTTTTTTTAAAGACTTTTTGAGAATAAACTAGCAAATATGGAAGTTAATCTGTTACATTAGCAAGTTAAATGACAGATTTTATTAGGTTGAAGGTTAAATTTGAACCTGTTTTGAAGGACAGACGGTGTGAAGGAGAAGAATGAATGTTTCAAAAATTGCTTAGAATTTTAAAAATCCTTATGAATAATTTAGTATTAGACTAAATGTACTAAATGACTAACTGCAATAGCTAGATTCTTAATTTGCTGGAAAGTCCCGATTGCCTTGCGTAAATGTGATTCCTTTGTGTGCATATGGGCTTTACTTTTAAGTTTTGCAAAATATTTTAAAAGCTATAACATAAGATGCATTCTACTACACATCTATCAGAAGAAGATAAATAGATAACACAGTTTTTAAAGTTTCTGAATACTTTGATCTGGTGTACATATATAGCTAATTTAACCAGTTAATTTTCCACTGAGCATGTCTATTCGAAGCAGATTTTCTTATTCACCTTGAATTTCTAGATTATTGCTTCTGACTGGTTATCTGCCTGCAGTGTTGGGTCTGGGAATTTAAAAAAATATATCTTTCATTCTCAGTTCAGAGATTACCGAAGTTACAGGGCTCTTCAATCTTAATTTTTAATTTTGCACAGTAATATGCAAGAGTGGTATGCACTTTCGTCAGTGCAAAGTCTGAGCACCTGTCATTGCCAAGTTTAAGTCTCTGCATGTCGCTGCTGAGTACAACCCTGAATTGTTTTTTGGTAAATTGTTGGGCATGTATATCTGCTCTCATATCAAAATTAGGGTTTATGTCTATAGATGATTGATAGAGAATATAGAAATCCTTATGTAGTCATTCATCGGTGATGTGCTAATTCTGAATTCTAGCAGATAAGCACTGAAGGTTTTTCTGTGTTCCAGCATTTAATTCTGTAACTGTATTCTGAAAATGATTTGGAATCAGAGCAGGCTTTTAAATTGTGCAAAAATGAATCATGTTTTCCATCTGTGTTAATGCTGGATAATTCTGCTGTGTTATAATGCCACTGTTATCAAAATGGCCTCAAAATACACAAACAGTAGTTTTCATTGTATAGAACCCCTCTTGAAAGACTACAAAGAACTTAAAATTCGTAAGTGTAAATTGAAATACAATAATGTGCATAGACTAAACATGAATTTAGCAACAACTAAAGAGAGAGATCTGAATATCATTTTCTTGCTTTAATCAAAAGGGAAAATGACCTTAAAAGCATTTTAAGTAGATATTAACTTTAAAATAACAAATTAGAAAAAAATATGTATTGATATCTTCTTTTCCAGGTGATCCATGGCTGGCTTATAATTTCTTCTCTTTTGCTGCTTTTCTTTTTCTCATTCATCTACCTGGGGTAAGTGAACTAAAGCACTAATATGCTGTTTTTTCATGTATCCCTTTGTGTTTGTATTTATTTTAGAACTAGCCCTTGAATCTTAAGAAGAATGATAGTGAGCTATTGCAATAAAATTTTTAGTTTTATATAGGTTCTTAGAGTACACATAAGAGAGAGACATTTATGGGTTTATAGTGCATATGATATTGTCCAGAAGCTGTCCATCACATGCATCACCAGAATAAGCTGTCTTCCATAGAGTAGCTTATTCTGCTAGCGCATCTTCTGATAACTTCATTTTTCATAGCCATACGACTCAAGGGCAGTTGTTTAAGTTCATGGCTTTGGTGGTGGGCTGTATCTGGAAAGGCTGTTTGCATGGAAGTGGCAGAAGAGAATCAGCTGAAAAAAATCTACTCTTTCACCAAAATATATTTAGTGTTTTTCTTTTCAAATTTGGAAGTGTGCCTTTATCCAGACATCAAGAAAAGTTGTACATAATACTTGGTATTCTCTAAAACGAGCGACCCAATCAAGGTTTGTAACTAGAGTTATGCCATGAAATTATTGTACTGCGTATATTTTTGTACCACTTGATGACAGGTACACTCCTCTTTGAAGAAGCTTATTTAATTTCGTCTCCGGGGGATAAAATGGTGTTTCTTCAGTCACTAATTTTTGCCGAAAGTGATCTGTGATGCCTTTTTTGGTCAGTATTTTCTTTAACCTTAATAATGACTTGTGCAGCACATGTTGCCTTGTATTTCAAAAGTGCTGTGCAGGCTGGGTGGAAATAAGTTGCCAGGCTCACTTCCTTTGGGTTTGGGTTGGAGCTGACACTCTTCATGAGCAAGGTCCGAGTAGAGGGACTGAAGGCTTTCCTGACACTCTACTTTCCTTCACCTGTCCCTGCTGCCTTGCAGCAGTGCTGGCTTCCCTCTGCAGAGGTCCAGTGAGTGAGGAGGGCGTTTGTAGACCGATTACATGTGACGGCAGTAAGGGACATCCTGTTAATGCTGTACGTCTCAAAGGCCAGCTAACAACTATGGAAGACAAGTTTTCTGGGGAAAGTATCATGCCAGTTATAAGGTTATTAGTGGCTTGATGAGTTGGTAGCAGCAGAATCTGCAAAAAGCCATCACAACCCTTTCTTCCCTGTGTCAGTGAAAATCACCTGTGATTTGGTGACAACATATTTGTCTATTTTGGTTTTACCTGTTGAGGGTCTTAATTGGTTTATAGTATTTGGTGTGACAGAGTGACATGGTTCGTCCAAAAAGAAAGCTTTTTACTTCAGTATTTGTGTTGAAGAATAAAATAGATTAGCCATGTATATCTTTCTTTGAAGTTACCAAAGTGTTTCCATTCCACAGGTGACAGGTAAGTAGAGAGAGATCTGATTACATGCCTTTAAAGATCCATTATAACCTCACAAGTTCTTATTCTTCTGATTTTAAAAATCATGAACATAATCAAAATGACTGATTTTGCCATCAGTGCCCTTTCCTGTCAGTTTCTGCTTTGATTGTGAAGGAAAAAGAACATTAATGAAAATTTTCAGAAAAGTGAAGGAGTTGGTGTGAAGCAAACATTGGTAAAATTATCCCCTTTGTGACGAATAGTTAAGTACTAATAGGAGATAGAATTTTGCATTTGTGCTTCTACACTGAGTATGAAAATTTAAAAAAAGAAATATTCTGAAGCTTGCATCTGTAACTTGTTTCCATTGTTTTAAGCAAATGCAGTCCACATTCTTTTCCGTGTGTGGTTTTTGGTTTGTTTTTTTTTTTTTAGTGAGGTTTTTAAGACTTACAACGTTGCCATGGACTACATTACGGTGGCACTCCTGATCTGGAACTTCGGTGTTGTGGGAATGATTTGTATTCATTGGAAGGGTCCGCTTCGGCTCCAGCAGGCATACCTTATTATGATAAGCGCTCTCATGGCTTTGGTGTTCATCAAGTACCTTCCTGAATGGACTGCGTGGCTTATCCTGGCTGTCATTTCAGTGTATGGTAAGGTCTGGGGCAAGGCATAGTAACAGGTATTAGGGTGGGAATTTCTTCTGTTGCCTGATTTTTCCATTCGTCTGACTAGACCTTAATTGGGAAAAAGTGTGTGTGTGTGTGTGTGTGTGTGGGTATCATCCAAAGTAATGGATAAGGTGATTACAGACTTCAGAAATAAGATCATGATCTAAACCAAGATCGGTCCCCTGCAGCTAAGGGGTTTCTGTGACTCTGTGGTGCCATATTCCTTCATGCTTTCTGGACTTGCTAGATTCTTTGTGGAAGAGAATTGAAGTAATTCAAGAGAGGAGGAGATAAGAGTCCTATGTTGCCATTTTATCTCTTCTATGAAGGTAGAGAGGTTTTGTCTCCTAATTTTCCTCAGGAATCCTTGGAAACTGTCGTATGTTCAGAATTTAGGAGCTTGTTTGTGTACAGTCCCATACAGATATAGATCTGCCCAAACCACGAATTGCTCAAATTTGTGGACATTGAAACAACACTCTGATCTATGCCTAATAATATAATGAGGAAGAAGCAAGGAAGGAGTGAAGTTTTCATTACTCAAAGTAATTTTACATTGAGAAGGATATAGTTGTGAGATCTGTTTCCTTGATTTTTTTAAATAAAAAGAAAATTCATTTGAATTCACGCATATTATGTTTTTTCAGAAAGATGACTGAGAATTACCTAGATGTAGTTTTTTTTGTGAAGCTTTAGAGGGCACTGTACACTTCTGGTAAGAAGATCACTCTATATCTCAAATACTGAATTAGTTCCCAGGCAAGACTAAAATCCGGTTACTTATACATAATTAAAACATTACAGCTAAGCATATCCATGAGGATGTGCTCATAACTTGAATTTTTTTGGAAGCGTGTAGGTGTGAATGTGTACTCTGCAAGTCACTGATAAAGACTGAGAATCTGTCCAGTTGTAGAGGTGCAGGGGTTGGTAAGATTTGATTAGCTCTGGTAGGTCAGTGTAGTCCTTAGGTGCCCTCTTCCTTCAGAGGGACGAAAAATGTCCCTCGTGCGTATGCTCATGGATCATAAGGCACATTAAAAAAAACTTCCAGTCCCCTCTCCCCACTTCTACCCTTTGTATGACTGGAACAAATCTGAGTATTCCAAGCATTCAGCTTTCATTCAGTGATTGCAAAAGAAAATTACTCTTCAGATCATATTCCGAGACCATAACATGGTTTTTTTGAGTAAAGGGGAGATAAGTTTCAAAGCCTGTGACCCCATGCTAAGAATTCTTTATTTGAGCAGGATCAGCAATGGTGCTAGGGCGGTTAGCTCAGGTACAGAAGGCCTGCTTTGTGCAGCATACAGCTCCTGACAAGAAAGCTGTTCCTTTCGGTGTCAGATTTTGTTTCAAATGAATTTAGAGGTAGTAACTGCAAAAGGTAGTAGCAAGGTTAATATGTAAATGTTACAGCTTTCAGTCCAAATAGGCAAGACAAGGGAAAAGTAGCTGAGGTTGGTTGTGGAGTTGCAAATTTCATTAACAAACCATCAACATTCAGGTCAGAAAGCAAATGGAGCATCTGATAGATCAGTTTTTCTTGATGCTGTGCTTTGATCTGTATGAGTAACTTGTACAGTCATCCTATTTTGTAAATGATTGCTTTTCAGTTAATTTTTACTTGTTCACTCAGTTTCATATACTGTCCCATGAACAAGAATCGAAGGAAGCAACAAAAAGCTGTTGTTCTTTTCTTATGCTAAATATCGTTTGAACACCTCTCAAATCTATGCAAACACATCGTTTTTCTGCAATGCTTAATAAATCTGGTTTTTTTCCTCCTCTCATATACATTCACTTTTTTTCTCCTCTTTAAGTGGGAATAAATTGGCAGTCATGCCTACTTCATAGAAGTTAGTAAGCCTTGCTTACCTGTTATCTTAATTTGTTTTTAGCATGAAACTTGGGTTAAGGAAAGCTTTGAGAATAGAAAGTAAGCTTGGGTATTTCCAAGATGTTAGTTGAGTAGTAGCTTTCGTGGGTTTTTTGCTTTCAACTTGCAAGTCAACATACAGATGCAGGTACTTTTGCAGTTGCATAATATCTTAAGTGAGGAATATCGCATTTTTTTAATTTGTACACATATTACAGTAATATGTAAAATAGATTGCATAACTGAGAATATTAAAAAAGTATTCCTGTAGGATAATGACTTGTGGCCAATGGCGCTCTCAGAAGTCTATGTTCAGGGTAACATTTTATCTTATAACCCTTGCAGAGACTGGTATAGAAAAACCTTATAAGTATGTCTGCAGTGATGTAAGATCTGTTCACTCTTCCTTTCAGATTTGGTTGCTGTCCTGTGTCCTAAAGGTCCTCTTCGAATGCTAGTTGAAACAGCTCAAGAGAGAAATGAAACTCTCTTCCCAGCACTTATTTACTCCTGTAAGTACATTTCGTTAAATACATTAAACTTACAATCACCCGCTCAGATAATTGATTTTCTCATTTTTATGTGTTTTAACACCATGCTTGTCAACTGAAATTCTTAGTCTGTTCACTTGGGCTTCAGTTTTCCTTTCACTGCTGAGTCAAAAACATGGAACATCTTCTGGCTGAGATCTTTCAAGATAAATATACAGACAGAAAAAATGGTAATACACGTTGTTTTGGCCAAAGAAGTATGTCATTAGGCTGTGAATTAAACCTGTTTAGAGGGAATATGTGTTTTCAGAAAATATTTATCAGCTTTAAGTGCTTAATAACCTGTGTGTTACTGGAAGGAAAAGGAGAAATTGCCAGGAAGAGATTAGTTTACAGAACTACTTTGCCTAGGGCTTGTCTCTTTTAATACGTTGTTTCTCCCTGCAGTTGCAAAAAGTAACCTGCTGAATGCAAATTGCTGTTACAACCTGTGTATCAATTAGTGCATAATTCCACTGTTTCTGAAGTTCCATGTTGCTAGTCATAATGATACGGATAAACAGTGAAAGAGGTTAATCACAAGTCACTATGCTACTGGTGCTCAAGGCAGGCCTGTATTTGGAAGCAGAAAGTGTGCTGTAGGCTGACTGGCTACTTCAGGGACAAGTTTACAAAGGAGAAAGGGGAGAGGTTTCTTTTTCTGTCATTCTTGCTGTGTTTTACTGACACTACTCATAGCTGCCTGTTCTGTTTTGTGGGAGGAGAGTTCAATGCTGAGAAACCACAAACTTGAGTTAAAATACACTGTTTAAGTGTGACGACATTTTGTTACCTCCAGATTGGAGAATTCTTTGTGATGGTGGGGGCAGAGAACAATTAAGTTTGCAGATACTGCTTCTGAATTGAGGTACCTCAGTACCAGTCTTAATAGACCTTTTTAATTGCAGATAAAAGGACTGATTAATGGAAAAAAGTAAAGAAATCGTTGATTCAGATTTTCAGTGGGCCTCATATGTAGAAGTAATTTCTCTGGCAGCAACTGTTGCCGTTTATTTCAACATCTAGTAGGAATCAAACTTTTATTCACCAAATTCTGTAAATGCATGTTGTAGCTGGTACTGGCTGTGTTCCAGATATTACCCTGCTTTAATGAGAGTAAAATTGCCTGTTGCAAAAGATAGTTGTATCAAAAAAAAAAAAAAAAAAAAAGAGAATAGATTGATGCCAACACTATCTCAGAATTGCATACATCTGAAGATATGATTAACTGTGCTGTTTTGGGGGGTTTTTTTGTTTGTTTTTTTTAATAGCAACGATGGTATGGCTAGTGAACATGGCTGAGGAAGATCCAGAAGCCCAACGGAAAACTTCGAAAAACTCCGCTTATGATAAACAAGGTGAGTTTTTCTTTGACAACCCTTTGTTATTTTATTGGAATACATGTTTATGGATACTTGTTTTTTAGCTTTTTAAGTGTCCTGGTTGCTGTTGAAGAGTGAAAGCATGGAGACTTTATTAGGAATGATGAATCTATCAAGACTTCAAAAATTGCTTTCTTATTGTGCGGTTAATGTTCTTGCATCCATTTTTCTGGGATCCAGGATGTTGATGATGAAATGACTCTCAGTAGACAACTACTGACTGAGCTCAATTGCTTGTCAAATTGGGATGATATGGTATAATGCTAATTCATTTATATTTGTATTAAACAGAAATGTGTCTAGCCCTCTTGGCTGTGCAGCTAGTGTTTAAAAACATGGGGTTGGTTTGTTTACATGTATTATTAAAGCCGAGCAGAGTTTCTGAATTTAACATGCTTGACGGGGTGTATGTATATGTGAGTTTCAGTGAAGTTTTCTGTTTTACTGGAAAGTTAATCTGTCAATGTTGACTAAAGAAGCTAAGAAGTACTAGATGAGAGTTTATCCCTTAAACTGTGATCTTTAAGCCACCACAGAACTTCCACTCTGTTATGTCGAAGTACTCCTGAGTACTAGGACTTGAGTGCAACATGTAGATGCTGTGACTACAGAGGGCACATGGACTGCTGATTGTTTAAATAAGTATTAAAAACCTAAGTGAAAGTGTCTTGTAATGGTGTGTGCAAATGTTAGATGTTGCTAAATATTACGGAGTACCTCTTTCTTTCTCATTCCTTTATGATCTTGCATGTGGAGAGATTGTTGTGTTTTAGAAGGCACGTTTTTTGAAAGATATCTTAAATGCCTTTCTTCCTTTGAGCTCCGGCAAACCAGGCTCAGAATGAAGATGCTGAAGCAGATGATGGTGGCTTTAGTCAGGAATGGCAGCAACAAAGGGACAATAGAATAGGACCCATTGAATCAACACCTGAATCACGAGCTGCTGTTCAGGCTCTGCCCAGTAACTCTCAGACAAGTGAAGACCCTGAAGAACGTGAGTATGGAGTGCTGTGTCTGAAAGACTTAGTAAATTTGAAGCTGGTTAGTCTTAGTCACCCTGACTGCACAGATAGTGTGCTGTGAGCTAATAGCAAGCTGAAGAGCTGCTCTTGCTCATGATCAATACTGACATGCCTCATAGAAATATTGGTAGCTTTTGGTTTTGCTGCAGGAGTGAGTTATATTGACCAAATTGCTCTTTGGTTTGATACACAGACTCAAAAATTTAATAGCACAAGCTGCTTTCAGACACTTGTACAGTCAGATGCATTAGATTCTGTCTTTTCCCGCCGGTGTTCTGCCGTGTATCACCTCTTCTGGATTTAGGCCGTGTAAATGTAGTCATTAACTTTTCTTGCCTCAAGATTAAACTACTGTAATCCACTCTGTAGAAAGCAATGTTTAAAACCTAACTGGAGATTGAAATGAATGCAGAATGCCATGAGTTTGCTTATTTTTCTGCAGCATCTTGCTGAGGTGCACTATCTTTGGAGAGCATATGATAGCAATACTCAGATACAGGCTCCTAATTTCCAGTTGGAGTTTAAGCTGCTATTAGATTTGCAAAGCTCTAAATAAATTAGGGTCTGCCTGTCTAATAAACTGCTTTCCCCCTGTGATGCTACCATATTTAGCAGGTGCAACTGCTTCTTCTGATTCTCAGGTGCTCTCTTTAAAAATATGGAGACTTCCACTTTAAGAACAATTTTAGAATTTACTTTGTCCCAAAAATTCCAAATTCAGAGTGTGTTGCAATTCCATTTTCATTTCTAGAGCTTAGAAAAATAACATTAAGATGCAAAAATTTTGGGAATTGGGCAATTTTAGTACTTAACTGGTTAACTCACTCAAAAACTCTTGGTCTAGCCAGACTAATAATTTTCTCCTTCCTGTATTCCTACAGTGAATAGTAATGACAGATGTGCAGTGATCCAGTCAGACTTGTCAGCCAGCATTAGCTTACTAGAAGTTTGGAGTAACTTATTAGAAATTTGGAGAGTTCGCTTGTGTGGAAGGAGTTATGTAGCGGTTGCCTTTGCTTATTGTTCTGTCACACTGAAAGCAAGCATCCAGGTTTTGTTTCAGCAGTTAAAGGGTGTTTTAGTGCTTAAGAGCTTTTCATGAATGCAGTCTTCTAGACTATATTATAGAGGCCTGCTGAAAGAGAGTAGGGTTGCCTTTTTTCTTTTTTTGTCTCCTTTTTTTTTCTTTTTTCCTTTTGTTTTTTTTTCCCCAATGATCAACCAGGCATACACTTCTGTTTTGATGCTCTGAGTTCCTCTTAGAATGCTAAAGTGATTTTGGGCTGGACTGTAATCAGGTGACAAAGTAAATGATAGACCAAATGAAAACAGCTGGTGACCTGATGTTGGCCTCTCTGACTTAATATCTTGGACTGAAAGCTCAGAAAGTGAACTGGTGTTCATGAAATCTTCATTATTTTGTTTTCAGAAATAGTCAAGTATTGTGCTCTCGGAGTTGTTGCTAAGGTAGCAATTACTATTTAAAAGAATAAGACATGAACTCATGAGTTTTCCTGAACCTTGCATCTTGGACTAAATATGTTAGGTTTTTGCCTCTGTGATATGCTCTGTAATTACACACAAGTGCATTTTAGAACTACCTTAGTAAGAATTCTGTAGGAAAATTGGGAGGGCAGTGGAATATTTTGCTGGGTATAGATTTTTAACTGGCAAATAAAACATCACCTGCAAGGGACTTGTTTTCCCCCTCCCTCGGCCAGCTTAAAGGAGTTGTACTTCAATATTCTGCAGAATATGGCATGACAACTAAAAGTGTACAACCCTCCAACAAATACAATTACAAATATCTGAGTTTGTATATGTTGCATTTGTATTTACAGGAGATTAGGAGTATAGAAAAATTGTAACTGTAGGATTAATTGATTGAGTGGTGTAATGTTTCTCAGCCATCTTGTTTCTCAAGAGTTTATCACTTGATTCAGGAGTGGTTCCAGTTTTGAAAAGAAAATGTTCTTACTGGCAAGTCTTGTTGATACTTCATGTAAATCTGTATTATTCTCTGACAATTACTGATATGTAGTATTAGTAGACTGTCTGATACTTAACACTGCCATATATTCACTTTTGCAGGAGGAGTAAAGCTAGGTTTAGGAGACTTCATTTTCTACAGTGTCCTTGTTGGCAAAGCCTCTGCAACAGCGAGCGGGGACTGGAATACAACTTTAGCGTGTTTTGTAGCCATATTAATTGTAAGTATAATGTAATATTATAATAGGGATAGTTTCTGTTGTTCATCAGGGACAAAGCCATAACTGCTATGTTGTTTTTTTCTTTGGAATTCATTTATTTGGTGGCCAGAGTGAAAACTGCTGAGGGCTTTAGTTGTGATCTTCATTGGCTCTGTGTCTGTCACTTAAGCCTCTAGTTTAGGAAAGCATGAACTGTATCTTGTATTTCTGTGGGATTAATGTTTATATATGTAAGCTTTTGCTTGTCAGAGTTGCCTAATTTCTCCCTATATTTTTTGTTTTGTTTTTTTTCTTCCCCTCAGGGTCTGTGCCTTACACTTCTGCTTCTTGCCATCTTTAAGAAGGCCTTACCAGCTCTTCCAATCTCCATAACCTTTGGGCTAGTTTTTTACTTTGCTACAGATAACTTGGTGCAACCATTTATGGACCAGCTAGCATTCCATCAGTTTTACATCTAGCACACTTGATGCTGGTATTCTACGGATATTTGTAGCAAATCTGAGAGGAGGAAACATGTTTTGCCCTCAGTTCTCAAGTGAGACTGAAGTTTAATACTCAAGATTCCAAGCCTGAATCATTACACCTTCCTCTGATGATGGCTTTTTTTTTTTCCTGAGACAACTGCTGCACTGGGCACCATATGAATTTTCCTGGGTGAAAGTGGCTTCTTCTGATGGCCGGTCTAAACCAGGTGCTATTATATCAGAGGTAATCTGATATATGTATCTCTGGTAAGGACCACCTGTGTGAAAATTGCTTATGCTTCCACCAGCAATGTGATCTCTTACCACAGGTTGATTATTTTCACTGCATTAAGGGTGCTCAGGACTTCCTTGATGTTAACGGAGGAAGCTGACAAATCACATGGAACTTGTCCCTGTAACCGCTTGAAGAGAGAGAATCCAGTTCAGACTTCTTCAGCAGTGATTTTTTGACAGTGGAGTCCTGACTCTTTGTGTAACGAGAAAGGATTTTGTAGCAATTCGACAAAGGGAGAAAGTACTGTCACTCTAAGAGTACTCCACCACTTCATAGCCTCTGTGCCTGAGTGTGCTTGATTTAATAAATTTAAAAGCTTTTCCCCCCGCCCCCTACTGGAACTAGAGCCTCTTACCAGTTTTAATACTTTGTATCCTCAAGCATGGAGTGCACCTTCTGTACACCTGCTCCAGTTTATGTAGCTACTTAAGACTTGGGCTGAATTATTTGGCATTAGTAGATCATAAGGTCCTAATTTGGATCTTAGACTTTAAAAGGTTAATAAACCACATTAAAAAGCAATTTCAGGAGTTACTCATTGTGCTCTTGCAAATCGTTTTGCTAGAACACCGTTTCAAACCCTGTGTTTGAGAATAGTCACTAACAGCACGGACTGCATTGTTGGTGTATGTTCCTTCTATTGAAATTCTTACGAAATAAGTGGACATTTGCAGCAATCCCAGATGAAGTTTAGCTTGCCAGATCTAGAGGCCAAAGTGCTTTTAGTAGCACTTCTAATGAATCACTGAAATTTTTCCTCTTCAAAAACGTGGTTTACAGTTCTGTTGACCTGAAGTATTGGTCACTCAACCATCTAACACCTCAGGTTGGGCAGGGTTCGGTTTTTTTGTGCAGTATCTTTATTGATGAGGATACTTAAGTTAGGTGAGACATTAAGTAATGTTACCAATGAGCAAAATTTGTGTCCCTCTTCACTTTGATTACGTCTCCTGTGCAGAACTGAAGACTGGAGAAAGGAAAGACAACTCAATCACTGAAAAGATGATTTTGAACTTCTTACAAGAAAAAGAATCTATTCAAACCTTAAAACTACTAAACTCTGTTGTTTTCATTTTAAAGAACTCATTTATGAGTAATTGCTTGGAAATGAGACTTCTGTGAGATGACATTGGTTTTGCCATAGGCTCTTACTCTGTACAAGTAATTTTTTTTTCTGAGGGAAGCATAGGGAGTGGGTACTATTGACGGGCATTCCATTTTACTTGCATCTTGATACTGGAGTCCTTGCCAAGTAGAACAACTGTCAAAATCCTGATGCAAGCTCCTTTCACCGTGTTTTTCTGGGGCTTTGTTTCAGTGCCTATAGTTTCAAAGGACTGAGACATCACAGATGCTCATCAACCATTTCCCAAATAAGGGAACAAAGGCTGTGATGTATAAATCTGCTTTAAAACCAAGAAGGACTGATTTTTGATTGTCCTTGGAAACGTCTGTCTCTTTTCCGGTATGACTTGCTAACTGTGGTGTTAGCATTTACATTTTCATAAAATATATTCTCTTGTCTCCTCTAAAGTACTTTTATTCATCTCACTTGTGTGCTGATTCGTCATGGATAGCATTAATAAACTAACCATATCAAAACTGCTTACACTGACTTTTCAAGTCAAACTTGTTTGTGTTTTCTAGCTTAAATCACTGTTCTGTATTTTGCTGCAATGAACCTGACTTAAAACAGGTTGATTGTCTTTTGGTTTGGTGTTTTTTTTTTTTTTTAACAAGACTTTGAGTTGTTTTGATACTATTGTAACTTGTCTCTTTCCTGAGCGTTATATCTAAGAAAATTCCCTTGTGTGTTTTATCAGACATCCTACCTATTGTTTCATTGTATAGAACAGATTTGCTAAGAATTGGCATCACTAGCATCTGTTTGCGTATCTGAGCCGACTCTCAGTTAAGAGTTCTTACTTAAATGCAGCAATCATCTTTATTGTTTGTTTTTTTGGCTTAAATATGCACCATGGGAGCACTAGCTCCATGAAGAGTTGCTTTAGAATCTACAGAAATGCACAAAAACCTTTCCACATACTTGAATGGGTGTTAGATGTACAACCCAAGGAAGAGCTCAGAACATTCAAACACTAAATTGCTGGTCTTCTACTCCCCAAAGCTGCTTCTGCTATCCTGAAGTTTTCATTTCTGAGTTAGTGTGGCGTTACGGTAGTGGAGGCTATAAAATTTATATTCTCAGAAACTGTTCAAGTTTATGTATTTGAATCAGAATAAATTCAGAAGGGAAGTTGCTTTTCAATTCCAGGCCAATATATATTAAAGTGCACTGCTTATAATGAAGTCTTACGTACACCTTCAAAAACCCGATGAAGTTTTCTAGATTTGCCCTCATATGCCAAGTCACGGTAACTTATGTTCCAAATGAGATCTTGCAACTAAAGATCATCTCAGTACTTGGGTCCATAAGGTTCAATTGAGAATAGTTTTTGTTTGCATTTGCATTGTTACTACGTAAGCGTGAAGGCTGTATCACTTTTATCTCCTTTGTCTTAAAATACGAATCTAATTTGAGATCGTGAACCATTTCAGCTTGGTTAGCTTGGCATAATTGAAAGATTTCTGATACGTAGTCTGCATTTTTGAGAGAGTTTTCATTATTATTAAATTAGTATGTTAATGACAGCACATAAGACTGTAGCTCTGAAAGAACTATTGTGTAACCCTAGTAGCTAGATTCATATCTTTTGTCCCTGAGCAGACTGACTGGTAACTGTTGTGTGACTGCTTCAGTATTCATATTTTGAAACTGAGTACCATGATAGCTTTCTCTCACCTTTCAGCTTACATCAATGATTAGTCTCCTTTGGCTAAGCTTCAAATAAAGAAATCAGAAAACAAACATAATAGCAAGTTACAGATTTGCCTAAAACCCAGCCACTTTCATTTCTCTTTTTTTTTTTTTTTTTTTTTTAATGTTGGGGGATTTAATCCAGAGCTAAAAAGAGAGATCCCTGGAAGCTGGTCTTACAACAGAGATGTCTGATGCTGTCATATCTGTGTATGGCTATTATGGTGGCACTCAAATTCAAATGTCATCTGCGTGAGGTGAGTCTTGAAGGTATACATGTGATATTGCAATACATTCAGAATAGTTCTGACTAGGCAGATGATGACTTCTTTGAGCCAAATAATCAAGGGCTGTGCTCCACTAAAAATGGCTAATCTCCTCAGTGTACAAAGCAGACCCTGACTATTTCAGGCATAGGAGACTGGTGCTTCTTGGAGAGACAGAGAGAGATATATCTCTCTATATATACCTGTAGAGATGTAGATACCTAGTATATGTATTCTGGGCCTGTGGATGACGACTGTTCTGCCATTAGTGCAGTCAAGAACTAAATATGCAGAAGTACATTTTGGGTGGATGGTACTGTATGATGAAACTTCTCAAAATGCTGTATAAAAAAGATTACTTATGGCAATGATGCTGTTGAAACGAGTTTAATAGACTGTGGAACATGTCTGCACTGTGATTGTGTCTCAGTGGTAACTAGGTCATGGGGAATGCTGAAAAATGAACTAGAACAGAATTCTTTTACACTCAAAGCATTTGGTGTTTTCTTTTTTACAAACACTGGTTTGTACATAACCTGAATTGAATGTGAATGTTTTTTAAACACCTTTCCAGTTCTTGATAAGATACGTTTTTGATAGATTATTGCAAATTTTCCTGTATTTGTCTAATTATTAAAATAAAAGTTGCATGGATCCTGACTTATCTTGCCTTTACTATATTATTTTAGAGCCTTCGCTTAAAGCTGTTGGAGGCATAAACATTGTAGCTATTTTTATTCAACATTTAATGAATAGGATTCCTGTCTTAAGACACTTACGTAGCTGCTTTATTTCCCAGCGGAAGAGCTTCAGACTGATTTCTATAAAAGTACTTTCTCCTAAAAGCTGCTTTTTGTGTTCATTTAAAGAGTAGGTCAAAACCTCTTGCAAAAGTACCCATAAGGTATAAAGAAGGCATGAAAAAATTATATGAGATTATACTGAAAAACCAGCTAGCATAATGAAGATTGGTGTTACCCAGGAAAAATACATAGGATGCTCAGAAGGAAAATGCTTCGTGAACAGTAGGGTGTATTGTTATTTTAGTGTTGATCTCATATCAATAGGATTGAAAAAGAGCTTTTCCCTAGCAGCATTTTGTTGTTGTTTTGGAATATTCACTGCAAAGTTCACATTTGTCTGAGTTGACTGACCGCTATTGAAGATTTTTCTTTGGGAGATTCCCCTGTCTCTGTATGGAAGACCTAAAGAAAGATCCATCCTGACAAGTAGAAAGTCAGGCGTAGGTGGTAGAAGGCCTGTATGGATGAACAAGGAGCTGCTAACAGAACCCAAATAGGAAGAGTAGAAGAGGTGGAAGCAGGGGCAGGTGACCCAAAAGGAGCACCGAGTTGCTTTCTGATCTTGCAGGGATAGGGTTAGGAAAGCCAAGGCCCCTCTGCAGGCAAATCTGGCAAGGGATGTGAAGGGCCAGAAGAAAGGATTCTGCAACTATGTAACAGCAAAAGGAAGACTAGGGAAAAAAGGTGCCCTTTCC